AAGGGGAGACAGATCCCGTTATTCTCCGTCCAGAGCTCCACTAAGTAAATCCCGCTGGCAGGCGGGCCTGTCCGCACGGACGTGCCCAGAGCCACCGAGAGCAGGGAGCCGAGCGAAGAGGAGCTGGGGCAGGGCACGGGGCTGGGGCAGGCTCCCTCCTCGGGCTGCGAGCGGCCGGAGAGGCGAGCAAACCCAGAGCTCCCCTCCCCATCTCTTCATGGCAGGGATGGCAGCAAAATTGTCTTGGTGTATTTACTTTACATGGTATGGTGCAACCCTCAGGGTACACAAGCGACAGGGAATCTGTGCGCTGAAACCAGAGGGGACCGCGCGTGGCGTGATTCAGAAGGAAAGCGAGCGACGTGCACAGAAACACGGAATCCAAATGCTTTTAGAATCGCGGGTTAAGTTTGGGAAGGAAGACTGAATCTCGATGTCCGTTTTAATTAAAGACACCCACCTTGGGAATCAAACTTACATTTTCACTCTCTTACTCCCACATTTACCTGTCTACAAGCTGGTGAATCATCCCCAGAAAAAAGGACATTAATTTAAAACAAAACATATAATTAAAGGAAGTAGGAGTGTCCTTCACCTCAGTAAAGAAGACCTAGCACTGCAGGGAAAATGACACTGCCTCTTAGAATAATGTGAAGCAATCCTGCGGTGTGGGAAATATTGTAACGTTAAGCCAGAGGAACAGGTATTGCATTATGCGATTCAAACAGTCAACTGTTCATAATGTTCAAACCTCAGAACTTTGAAAAGAGGAAGAATTCAAGAATCAGTCGGTGGATCGTCGCACTTTTTCTTTCTTTTATTCTTTTTGTTTGCTTTTTCTTTTCACGTTTTAAAAGTTTATTTTCTTTCCATCACAGAAGTACCCTAACAGGTTTTCAAATATTTCTAGTTCCATCTTTATCTACCAAGTTAATCTTTGGTGAATGCACCAGAGATTAAATTGGAGCTGGGCCTGGCCAGAGAGCTGGGTCTGGAGGTTGTAGCTGGAGCCCATACCTTCATAAATACAAACATCTGTATTGGGTGCAAATACTGGCAAGTCGCAGTGAGCCAGGGCTTGTTCTTCTGGCTGTTTACTCCCTCGTTCTGCATCTTTATCCTGCATTCTGATCTGGCAGTTACATCCAGAGGCTGCCCTAACTGGCCCTTGCAACTGAATTCTTGAAAGCTGGTCTCATGTGCTTCCTACCTCCGAAACATCTCAGGGACCCACAAGCAGAAGGTCTCCTGCCGCGGTGACCTGCCGAAATGCACGGTTGGGCCTTCTTGGCATTACCCCGGCAGGCCTCCAGCTTGCCACGGCTGTTGGACACTAAAACTGGTTGGTGAATTTCCTGGGCAATTTTTCAAGATACTTTTGCAGATCTAAATTCACCCTCTTCAAATTTCTGCCTTATTCTCTGCTGCTCTGCAGCAGAAAGTTGCACCCTGCCCGGGCTGATCTTGCCTGACAAAATAGAACGTCTGTGCGACTGTCATGTGAAACAGATTATATCAGGGCTGGTGTGGCCCACACCTCCTTTCCAGGCCAGCACTGAGTAATCCCATAGTCACCGAGATCACACGTCAGCCAGGGTGGTAATTGAGGTTGGAAGCCCAGCTTGTCCCCTCCTTCCCTTCTCCCCCCTCACCCCCCTGCTGTACCTGGATCTCTTTAAACTTCCTCCAGCTCACCTCAAATCCCAACATCCACTCTCACAGAGCCAACGTCCGTTCTCAGCTTCTCATGGGAACCTTGTTGGCGGGACTAACCACTTATCCAAAACCCTAGTCTTCGACAAGCAGGTTTTGAGCTAACCCTGGTCTCTTTTAAATTGTTTCTGCACTTGTCGTAACAAATGCATGGCCAGAAATGGGGTTTTTGAAATGGGAGCAGGTGCAGAGCAAGGCTCGCACCATAGAGGGCTGGGTGGAGGCCTGGGCACACTGAGCACTGTCCCTGCGAGTGCCACGGCTTGACCTGGCCAGATGTGTAGAGGCTGCTAATAATTGTCCTGGAAAACCTCCTCAGAGAGATGCTTTAGATAGGAAAAGAGACACACAGACATTCTTGGTGCAGGGATCACTGGTCTCACTCTGTCAGAAACCCAAGGGCAGCAGCCCTTCCGCAGCACGGCTCCCAGCAGAGCAATTTTCAGCAGG